ACTAATTGTAAAGTATTATGGCTGGTAACAGGCTTGTTATTGGATCATTAATTAATAGCAGAGGCCATATTAACAACGTAAACATCAATAACGGATAATTTATATATCCGCTTGTATAAACAAACACACACCACACCAGACACACACACACACATGTATACAGTGTATATGTATACAGTAGTAGTAGAAATAATAAACTTAGTAGAAAACAATATGATCAAGACAAAATAGAAGACTAGGCGACAAAAGAAATCACATCAACAAAAATCACGGCAAAAACATCATTACATTAACAAAAACATTAACTGCTACATCAACAACAACAAAAAAAAACATCAACAACAACAGCAACAACATCATCAATAGACAGATGCAACATGTTTAATGTAGATCGCTATCAGGAGCTCCTTCCAAATAATTTACTCGCGCAGTACAGTTACGTATGTTTGCATGTTTGTATGTGTGTATGTATGTTAAGAAAAAAGGTTTGTTTGTATGTTTGTTGGTGCTGTATGTATTGTGCGTACGTTGTATGCTTGCAAGTGGCAGACGTCCTTGTTTATTTGATAAGTTTCAATCTTTACAGTTGTTGTTGTTCATTGAATGCATTTTGTTGTACGCTTGTTTTATGCATGGGGCGTATGCATGTGTGTGTGTGTGTGTTTGTGTGTGTGTGAAGGAAGCAGCGACAACATATGTTGAAAAGTATTCTTAACTTCTTTTTTAAATTCAACTAGAAAAAATCTGAACAACCTACTTTTTTATGAAAAAGTCATATTTGGGGTGGACCAAATTGGAACCCCGTTCAAAATTATTGACAGAGAAAGGAAGTACTTTGCTATTTGAAGAGTCAGGACCTGTGGTCTATTGCTCTCTATGCTGGAAACCATATACACCACACACACACACATACACACACACACACTCACCCATATACATACACATTCATAGATAGATATATACTACTCCATATACGCTCATACCATTGCATAAACTTAATATTTACATACAAACGCTCATCTTAATTCGTACGTGACAAAATTTGATAAAAACTTCTGCGACCGCTGCGGTAGTAGTAATGATAGTACTAATAATAGTAGACACATACAGATATATATACGCTCACACATACATATGTACATACACGCATGCTTACATACATACTTACATACATACATACTTAAATACATACATACAAACACACATACATACAAAATATGATTTAAAGTAGCTTATCTCGAACTGTCTCGCGTACTTTAAAAAGGCGAACGTATAGTCTGCCCATCTAAATAACGTTATTACACTAACACTATTACTTATAACAATGACAATAATAATAACACTAACAACAATAACAACAATAATAATAACAATAAAACAACAATATGATTTTTTTATTATTTCCAGTGCCATTAAAGTACCCAAATGAAGAATGTTCTGCAAACACTGGGTCAAAATTCATAATTTAAATGGTATTCAAATTCCAAATGTTGCTACAAGTGTTGGGGTACTGTCTAAAAGTAGTGGCGAAACATTTTAAAAACCATGTGGTCATCCTTTGATGCAATTTACACGGTAATAATTACGACAAATTTAAGTGCTTAAATAAATTGATTACAAACAGTTGTAATTTTGTTGATATTCTGATTTTACTGTTGGTGAGGATGATTTTTTTATATTTTAGAATATGCACCTTTTGCTTAAGCTATCTTTCTTTTGATGTCCATATCACATTTTCAACCTGAGATGATCAGACTTCCGGGATAATTGATGATAGTAGTAAAAGAATTAGCAGTAATAGTAGTAACGGTAGTAGTAGTAGTAATAATAATAATAGTAGTAGTAGTAGTTGTTGTTGTAGTAGTAGTTGTAGTAGTGTTGGTGGTGGTGGTAGCTGCCAAAGCTAGTAATTTAATAGTAGAAGTGTGTTGTGGTTAGTTGTGGTTGTAGTTGTTTGTTGACGTTGATGTAATTGATTTTTGAAACGAAGATTTCCAAAGTCATTTATCACTCGGCCGAAATTATTATTGTTATTACTTTTGCCATTGCTATTATTGTTACTATTATTGCTATTCTGTTGTTATTGTGGTTATTTTTGTCGTTGTTATTGTTATTATTATTATTATAAATTTTGTTGTTGATTTTATTTCTACGATTGCGATTTTTTCCCTTGATGTAATTAATGTTGTTTGCCCTTATCATTACAAACTATTATCATTACACATTATTATTATTATTATTGTTATTATTATTATTCTTGTTGTTGTTGTTATCATCATCATCTTCATCACCACCCTCATCATCATTTATAAAGTTTGTTATACCGTCTTTTTTGCTTCGCCAGAGATATTAATGGATCTGGCGATATTGATTTTTTGATTTGATTGTTATTTTTATTATTATTGTTATTATTGTTGTTGTTAATGTTGTTGTTGTTATTTGTTTTGTTACTGATTTGAAGGAAAAAACAAAATGAAATTATTTCAATGTTTTTATTCATTGCAAAATCCATTTTTTCGTTTTAAAATAACACCCGCACAGGCTATAAATCCAATTTATTTATTCATTTATTTTTACTTTCTTTCTATTAACTCACTCAATCTTCCACTCATTTTTTTTTATTTCTTCAATTCACTCATTCTTTATTCATTCTTTCATTCATTTGTTTGTTTGTTCATCCGTACGTTCAATTATTCCATCCACTTGTTAATTAATTGATTGATTCATCCATCCATTCATTCACACATTCATTCATTCATTCACTTATGCACTTCGATGATGAAGATGACAATGAAGAAGAAGATGATGATGATGACGCTGATGATATTCAAATGATGGTGATGATGACGATAACCAAATGATGATGATGATGAAGATGGTAACCAGCTGTAATTTCAAGTGATAATGATGGGATTGCTACAAGATAAAAAAACAGTATGGGAATAGAAAAAAGAAATGGGAAAGAGAGAGAGAGAGAAAGAGAGAAAGAGAGAGAGAGAAAGAGAGAGAGAGAGAGAGAGGTAGGGTGGAAAGTTTTTTTTACCTTTTTTTCGTTACGTTAAGGGTGAATAAATTTTCATTATTAACGGCGGACTCTCGTTTGCAGTTCTTTTTGTTTACTCTGCATCATTTTTTAAAGTATCCAATCTGTGGAATGTGGGCAAGATGAGGGGGGGGGGGGGGAAAAGAAACAGTGGAGAAATAAAGAGAGAGACACAAAGAGAGACACACACTTAGACAGAGAAAGAGAGAGAGAGAAGGAGAGAGAGAGAGAAACAGTTAGACAGACAGTTAGACAGACAGTTAGACAGACAGAGAAAAAGAAAGAAAGAGAGAGACAGATAGATAGATAGAGACAAAAAGAGAGGGAGAGAGAGAGAATCAGAGAAAGCAGAATAGAGAAAGTGCGTGATTGAGACAGATAAAGAGCGTTAGGATGAATAAGTGTGAAAATGAATGAAAGAAAGAAAGTGACAAATCAAAAAATGAGATACAGAGATAGAGTGAGAAAAAGAGAGAGAGTGAGAAAGAGGAGAGAGAGAAGAGAGAAAGAGACTAAAATGAATAAAGGAAAGAAAAAAGAGTTTTATAAGGGATTATAAAAAAAACAAGTAGCTATATGAAGAGATAAAAAAGAGAGAGAGAAGGAAAGAGAATGGAAAGAAAATGTTTTTTTAAAATATGGTTTATTTGGTTATAAATTTATGATTATTAATTTATTAGTAGTAGAAGTAATAGCACTATAAATGAATAAATTATAAGAATAATGATCATCGCTATTATCATCACGTCATCATCACCATCATCATCATCGTTAGAAATGTACCGTTTAGTAAACTTGACCGAAGGCTGAATAGTCAAATAGTTGATTCATCATATTTAATATTTAATAATAATAATAACAAAAAACCACAATTTTGAAAAAAATTGTCTTTGAAGTGAAAAATATGGTATTGACAAAAATGAAGTGATTCATGTCTTCATCCAACCTTTTGATCTGATTCAGACGTCTTAACAGCTATCATTGCCCGCCAGAATAAACTTTCACCACAACAAATAATGTTTTATAATTGGAAAGAGAGATGGCCAAAGAGAATTTTGCAAACATTCAGTGCGTGCGTCTCTGGCCAACATCTCTTCTCTTATCGCAGGGGTGGGAAAACTTTTTGCTGTGAGGTCCGCATTGAGAACTATTTTACCTTTGAAGGGCCGCATATGTACTTAAATAGCAAGTTTTTTCGACCCGGGGGAGAATTTTTTTTAAAATTGTGGCTCTTTTTTTGTCATAATGTCTGACTGACGGCCTCCTTTTTTGGCAAACAAAGTCTCGTGAGCCGCATAAAATAACTTGCCCACCCCTGTCTTATTGCAATAACATCAAATTTATCATTTTTTTTAAATTATCCTAAAAAATTGGCATCATCGTCATAATCGCAATCATCCTTTTAGAATTCATCATCATTGTTATTATCTCCAACAACACAATCACACTATTTTTTTGTTATAACCCTCAACAATAATGCTCTAATTCTCATCATCATCGTCGTCGTCACCATCATCACCACCATCGTCATCCTATCCTTGCGTTTTCCCGCCTATTTTGTTGTCGTGTAGGTTGGAAGGTAGAGACTGGGTGATAAATCATGTCAACAGGTTTCACAAATCCAAATATTGAACTACTGCCTTGCAGTATTAACGCCAAATACTACAGCCACTACTACTACAGCCACTACTACTACTGCCACTACTACTACTGCTGCTGCTACTACTAATTGGTTATCGCAAAAGTAATCAGTATAGAATAAATATTATTATTACTATTAGTAGTAGTAGCAGCAGTATAGTAGTAGTAGTAGTAGTGGTGGTAGTAGTAGTAGTTGTAGTAATAGCAGCGGTAGTAGTAGTAGTAGTAGTGGTGGTAGTAGCCGGCTGTCGCAATTGAAGAAGTCGTTAAGTTCTTTTGAAGACTGTTAAATTTAAACATTCTTTATTGGGCTGTGTTAAAGGGTTGCAATTTTCCAAACACGTCGAACAATATAGAAACGAATGTTGTTTTTGATGTTGTTGTTGCTGATGCTGTCGCTGATGTTGTTGTTGATGCTGTTCTTGTTGTTGATGATGCTGTTGTTGCTGGTGTGGATGTTGTTGTTGATGTTGCCGATCTTGTAACCTTAGCGAATCAGAAAAATATTTCTTATTGGCATTATTTGCAATTGTGTAACTGTTACTTTCAGAATTGTCATTAAATTTTAAATCATGTAATAAATTCGTTTGTGTGATATTGTTATTTTTGTTTGTATAATTATTATTGTTATTATTATTATAAGAAGAATAATAATTATTATTATCGTTGTTGTTGCTGTTGTTGTTGTAGTTTCCACATTCAGCACAACTGCCATCTTGAACATTCTTCATGAGAAATTCAACACACGTAAGTCTATCCGTTGACAATAGTGACGTTAATGTTGTTGCGGTTGTTGTTGCAGTTGTTGTTGCAATTGTTGCTGTTGTTGAGTTTTGTGTCATAATTTTCGGAGTGACATCATCATCTTCATCATCATTATAGTTATTATTATTATTATTATTATTATTAACAATAGCCTCGTTATTTCGTATTCTGTTTTCATAAGTTCTGCCATCATCATCATCATCATCATGATTAATATTAAGGTGATGATCATGAGGATGATGTAAATTGGAAGGAGCTGAACAAGCATCACTACCATCTTCCTTACAACATTGATGATGATGATGATAATGATAATGGCATTCATCATCATCATCATCGTCACCACCATCATCAGCATCATCAGCATAAGCGCCCACCGCCAAAAAATCTCTTGAGATTAGTTCATCTTTTTTTTTAATTTTTTTTTCAAACTCGTCGCATCGGCAGCAGCTACAACGGCAGTCATAAGCCGTCAATAAACCATCGGCTGCTACAGGAGATGTTTTATTAGAGAAACCGGAAGTAGTAAAGAAGTTGTTACTTCCGATTCCGGTGCGGCTAAACGGCGTGACGTCACGATCTCCGTCCGTCACGTGATGTATAAGCGAGCTGGCGAGTGGCAGTCGTCTTTGAAAGTAATTATGATTATTATGATTTTTATTATTATTATTATTACTGTTATTATTGCCGTTATTATTGTTGTTGTTGATGTTGTTATTGTTATTGATGTTGTTGTAAACGTTGCTGAAGGATTTGCGGTTGTTTTTATTTCTTCTCTCCTTCCTGTGAGGTGGAAATGAATGAATGACGTCATCACTTCGTCATCATCCTCATTCAAAGTCGTTCCGTTGTTTAACAACGAAAAGTCGGTAATAAAAACAACAGTGACGTCATAGATTTTAACTTCATAACGACAACAACATCAACAACAAAATCAAAAACGACAACATCAACAACAACAACAAGGACATCACCAACATCATCAACAACAACAAAGACATCATCAACATTAACAACAACATCATCAACAACATCGTCAACAACAACATCAACATCAACAACAACAGCAACAACAACAACAGCAACAACAACAACAACGCTAACTTTCTGACAGCTACGACCACAACGGCCAAGAGGACGCCGCCAAAGAACACACCCATCGCCACACCCAACGACACAATTATTAAAACACCTGAGCCAACAAAATTTTTTTTTCAAATTTATGAAATATTAATAATTAAATAAAATAAATCTAATAAAAATTATTATAAATAAATATATGAATAAATAAACAAATAGATAAGTGAATTATTAAATGAATGAATTAATTAATTGAATAAATAAATATAAATAATATAAAAAAAACAATATTAAAAAATTCGAGATTTTTTGGGATAACATTTTTTTTGCCGGGATGTCTCTTTACATTCGCGGTTGATTACCATTAATGTTGTTTTATCGTTTTTGCTACTACGGCCGCTACTTCTACCACTGCTACTACTACCGCTACTACTACTACCACTGCTACTACTATCGCTACTACTAGCACTGCTACTACTACCGCTACTACTACTACCACTGCTACAACTACCGCTACTACTACCACTGCTACTACTACCGCTACTACTACTACTACTACTGCTACTACTACTAGTGTTGCGACTATTATAAGTTATAACTCTTACTTAACTAAAACTTAAAACTCTATGTTCTAAATCAGTTTTATCAAGATTCAATAATAAGTAACATGTGTCCTGTATACTAATAAACAAACAAAAAAAACAAACGAACGAACGAACGAACGAACCAGCCAATAAAACAGACAAACAAAAATCAAGCAAGCAAACAAGCAAACAAACAAACAAACGATCGAACAAACGAACGAACGAACAGCACATGAGCGCATGCTTGTAAGAGTAACAGAACTCGAGTGAGAAATGTTTATGAAATCTTTTCAAAAACACAATTTCAAAATGAAGAAAAACAACGACAACAAAACAGAGCAAAAAGAAACAAAAGATCAACAAAATGAAAGAACACAAAACAAAGAAAAAACAACCACAAAGAGACAACAGAACCGCCAGAACAACTAACCAACATAGATAGAAAAATGAAGATGGCCAACATGCTGTCGTAGCAGCAAAGATAAATAAGTGCTTTTTCGCTCCGAGGGAGGAACTTTTAAAAGCGTTATATGCTCGAGAAACTGCGGCAGTAATATGAAAAATACGGCAAGCCGAGTGTAAAATGAAAAAAATTATGGAAAGCCGAGAAAAAATGATGAAAAAATGTAAACCATAAAAAGAGATAACAAAGAAAATAAAAATTGCAAATAAATCAAAAATAATGCTTAATAACAACATTAAAAAACACCATTAACAATAATAATATAAATAATTATAACAATAATAACAATAGTAATAATAATAATAGTAATAATAATAATACAAATAATATTCACTCCACAAAGGCGTCATATTTTTAGCAGTCAGAACAACATCTTTCAAAAT